ACTTATGTACTTGTATCTTCATGTGTAGGCCTTAACTAGCTAGTATAGGTATCTTAGTTGTTGATTCAAATTGCGAATGAAGGAATTGTGATAGTGACAAGGTGGAGCCAACCCTAACAAAATTCTCTCTCTCTCTCTTTTTTTTTTGTTGGTTTATGATGTAGGATAGAATTGGGCAGCGGAAATTAGAGTGGTTAGCAGAAGCAAAAACACAGAACTTAAAACAAAACGAAAATAAAAGATAAACTAGACTCCTCCAGGGGCCCAGCACACTTGGCCTTGCACCAAGAATTGGAATTTGAAATCACTCCAAATAAACACCTATCACTGTGACTAACTTCAGTCCTTAATGCAGAAAAGTTCCGTTTCAGTGCTGAATTTATTGAGATGAGGCGTCAAGCATTGGATGTATTTGTTAATCGGATAGCTTCACATCATGAACTTCAGCAAAGTGAGGATCTGAGAACCTTCTTACAAGCAGATGAAGAGGTGGTGCTTCTAAAGTGATGCCTTGAGTCACAGAGTTATTCTCACGTCACTACTATGAAAGTCAATAACTTAGCAGGCACCTCTGTCGGACTTCAGAATTGTTGACGTGTTTATATGCTTTTTTCAGACAATGGAGAGGTTAAGGTTTCACGAGACTGGTATCTTTAAGAAGAAGCCAGCAGATTTGATGCAAATCTTCAAGGTAACTTTGATTCTGCATAGTGTTTGTAAGACTAACTGTTTCCATGGGATATTTCATTTCCCTAAAAAGGCATTTTTCATGATGGGCAATCCTTTCCACTGCTTCATGTCTTCCGCATTTATTGTATTTGTTGAACTGAATAGGCCACTTAACCTAGTAAATATCTTTCCTTTTTGAGAGGTGATCTGGTTGAACAACAGTAGTTCTGTATTTAACAGGATGTACAATCTAAAGTGAGCGATGTTGTTCTCGGAAAGGAAAAGCCGGTGGACGAGTCAAATCCTGAATATGAGAAGTTGAAACACTACATCTTTGAGCTGGAAAACCACTTGGCTGAAGCCCAGAAACATGCATACCGTCTTGTCAAGAGGCACAGAGGTAATGACGATTTGAAGGCTCAATGTTCTTTCTTTACCTTTTTCTTTTACATTTCTCTATTAGGGGCCTTATGGCTGCATTTACTTATTCTGAATTCTGAATGTGGTTAGAATGTGATTCTTTATAACTATATTTCTGCAGAGCTGGGACAGTCTCTAGCAGATTTTGGGAAAGCAGCCAAGCTCCTAGGAGCTTCCGAAGGTAATGCTCTTGGAAAGGCCTTTACCGAGCTTGGGGTGAAGTCAGAGACATTATCAATTAGGCTGCAAAAGGAGGTAGGCTTGAATTGAGAATTCAATATATATCATTGGCGTTCCAGTGTCTATGGTGTGTTTGCTTATTCTTCTTTGCATGCATTCCTTTTGTTTTCCATTTTGTATAAGAGCTTATCATTATATGTTATGGTATTACCATATCTTTCCGTCTCGTTGTAGGCCCAACAACTGTTAATGAATTTTGAAGAACCCTTGAAAGATTATGTCCGTGCCGTGCAGTCTATTAAGGTGAGAAGTGTTTGACTTGATACATGTCTTTAGATTATACTGTTTACACTTCTTTTACTTGTGTGTGTTGAAACAGGCCACAATAGCTGAGAGAGCAAATGCCTTCAGGCAACAGTGTGAACTTGCCGAAACAATTAAGTTGAAGGAGATAAATCTGTATGCATCTGGTCAACTGTTTTATGTTTCTCTGCGTGTCTGGATTTTCTGTTACGCTAGCCTCTTGTATTCTGAAAACACAGACAAGTAGCACCTGTGATCATATTTAGGTTTCCAGTTAATAAAAATAAAATGGTTCAAGGAAAAAAAAAAGATTTGTGAAAATGCATGATGGGAACCATTTGATTCAACTAATGTTGGATTCCACTCACCATTTGATATAAATACTCTGGCGCTCGTTTTGTCTGTAATTGTTGATTGGCCTAATAAGTGTTGATTGGTTGCCAGTGACAAACTCATGTTGACCAGATCGGACAGGGTGGGCGAAGTTGAGCACGAGTACAAGGAGGCAAGTCAGCTGATGCAATCATATATGGTTTACACGGTAGGTGGCATCTTCATTATTTGACTAAGATTGGTTTTGTGATGCAGTTGAAGGCTGAGGGTGAGGAAGCAACCAGAAGATTTGAAACGATAGTGCGACGGATGAATGAAGAGATAGTTCACTTTCAGGAACAAAAAACAACAGACATGGGGGTTGCTTTCCATGAATTTGCCAAGGGACAGGCACGCTTGGCGAATAGTATTGCAGAGGCTTGGCGAAGTCTCCTCCCTAAGCTCGAATCTTGCTCCCCGGCTTAGTTGAGTGGATATTAAACCGGAGCAGTATACTTCACGTGGTTCGTATAGACGGCAGAGCAGCTCTCTTTGTAAAAACTTTCGACCTTCAGGAGTTTGTTCTGTTATTCCGGTGTTGTACTTCTTGTGGATTATTATCCTTTTTTTTTTTTTCCCTTTCTCACTTATCACGTGTACAAATTGAGAACTAATTGAAAAGATTTGTTGCTTGCACTGTTACTTGCAGGGCAAGTCACTCTACAGATATGTGTACCTCACACATAGGATTTATTCACACATTTTGGTATGCTTTCGAATGTCCAATTCTTCGAGTTGTCCGTTGAAATTAGAATCTTGTTTTACTAATTAGTAACTTTCTTACGTTTTAATTTTCTCACATTGCACCTTAATAGTTTGCAATCACATCGATTTGTCTCCAAGCCGTATGAACTTCTTTTGGGCTAGTGATCCTTTTTCATTGAGAAATGGTAAAGGAGAATTGTCATTAAAATTCGAAAATAATCAATTTAAGAACCGTTTGATAACAATTGTTTTTTAATTTTTAGTTTTTTTTATTTGTTTTTTTTTAATTGAAGAATGAAAACTCGTTTGATAACTATGTTTAGTTTTCAAAAACTAGAAAATGCAAACTACTCTGTTAAGAACTTCTGTCAAAATGAGTCACGCGGCAAACACGTGAGGTTGAATTAAGGGGCAAATATAAAAAATCAAATGAGAAAAATTGTTGTAATGATCTCTCAACCTTAACCCAATTTGAGCAATAGTTTTTCAACTTTAACCAAATTGTAGCAACGGTCCTTCCAACAAGACTCACTTTGACAGAATTCTGACTGAGTTTACAAAAAGGATCATAGCTGCACGTTTTGATGAGTTAGGGGAAAAGGGTCATGAATTTTAAGTTAAGAAACTATTACTCAAATTGGGATAAATTTGAGAGACCGTTGTTACAATTTTCTCTTTAAAAAATGCCAAGTTTATGAGGCAAGCGGTGGCCTACATTTGCTGATATGGCATGAAATGATTGGAAGCTTGATGAGGCGATTCTCGCCAACCATTCCCGCCTCGTTAAAGAAGATGAAAGAAGCATATCAGCATATCCTCCGAACTTGCGATTCCTCCAACAAATCCCTTTCCCTCTTTCCCATCAGTTCTAAAACCCCCTCACAGATTTCATTTGCTCAGCAACCCATGCCCAGTTCTGTCGCTGTGGCGGGAGGAGTGATGAGCTCGCTCCTCCGCGTCCACTCCCCACGTGTCAGCTCCCACGCGCCACTCTCCCCTCCTCCTCCGTCGCTGGCTGCTTCCTATCCACTAGTATCCACCACCGCCACCAGCTACTGCTTCTTTCCCAACCTTAATTTGCATTCCGGCCGTCACTACCGCCACCGAAATCAAACGGCGGTGGCCAAGGCGTCGTCTCAGGAAAAGGATAGCCTTATCCCTTCGGACGACGCCGAAGACGGCGTCTTGCTCGGGACCATGAAATTGCCCTCGGATACCGATCTTCCCAGATTCCAAATTCTACTATTCCAGGTAATATAAAGTATATGTAAACATTAAAGTGCATACTCTAACAACAAAGCTGGAATAGCTCAGCTGGTTAGAGCGTGTGGCTGTTAACCACAAGGTCGGAGGTTCGAACCCTCCTTCTAGCGTTTTTTAAATTTCAGTATTTTCCCATTTTTCTGGTCCAATGTGCTAAACGCTGCGTTTTGTTCAACAGTGGGCTAATAGTCTCTGCCAGGGAGCCAACCTGCCTCTTGATATGCCTTTGAAGGTACATAATATATTGTTCATTTCATTTTAATATTTTTTTTTCCTGTTTATTTATGTTTCTTCATTTTCCTTTATTTTATTCAAAGTCTGAAGTCGTATTAGGCGTTGCGTTAGAGGTATCGCTATATGCAATAAACTTAAATAAAAATCAAATCCCATTATGTTTATAACACTCAATTTATAAAGATGATTCACAAATTTATCCAATCCAATATGTCAGAAATAAACGAAAAATGAGTATGCGGAAATCAGTTTGCTTGACTTGTATTCCCTTAGCCATGTTGACTTCCATATTTAAGGTTCCGGTTGCATGGACACTTCGGCATACATTATGAAAATGGCACTGAGACCCTAGCAATGGACTGAATGTTTTCTTGTACATTGCAATGGAACAGGTAGACAAAATTGCAGGTGGGACTAGATTGGGGTTTGTTACAATCGGGAATGCGGAGGTTGAGGTCCCTGTGTACATAGACTGCTTGGTTTTTCCACCAAGTGACGGCTCTGGCCCTATTTTCCGAGCTGTCAGAAACGGACCCTTGAAGGACAAGACACCTCCTGGTGAGCCAAGGATCATGAGAAATCTTATGCAGGCCCTTCAGAAGTCGGTCCAAATTGCTAGACTGTAAACAAGATTTTTGTACGTATATTTGAGTTGAGATTATCTCCACTTTGTTATGTAATGCAAATTTTCATACTTCTTTAAGTCCAAGACAAGAAAGTCCTAGTTTCTTGTTCAATTTTTATGCTTGGTGGTCGAATGCAAGCTTTGTTTGCTTCAACAAAGTTCAATGCAGATTACGATGATCTGGGATTTGTCCAGAAATAGACCGAATGTGCTTTTTTAGCCAGCTGATAGATGACTAAACGACTTTTAACCTCTGACTTTATAGTCTTTCGATCTGTGTCCTTTGTGCCGCTAGACTACATAATATTTGCTGTAATCTTGGATTTTCAATGTTCTAACGAGGTTGCATTGTCTTGGAGCTTATTACTAGGTAATTGTTCTCAACTTTGTCTTAACTGGATTCATTGGTTTCTTCATGCTAAAACGTGATTGCAATCATTTACCTATTAAATAATCACACTAGGAAACAAATTTGATACCCAGTACTTTCCATGTTGGCAGTATCCTCTGCTATATAAGGTATCTTGAATCTGGAACTGAAATTCTCACACCTTGTTTTGACCTTAAGTAAGAAATTGTACCGAATTCTAGATCCGGAACTTGAAAGAAAATGGAGCAGCAAGAATCGGAAGTTAGTTTTGGTTATGGACAAGAAGATGGTTATGATGCAGTTGTTGTGGGGTCTGGCTATGGCGGTTCTGTTGCTGCTTGTCGGTTGTCTATGGCAGGGGTAAGGGTGTGTCTAGTTGAGAAAGGCCGGAGATGGGAATCTAAGGACTTTCCCACTGACAGCTCGAAGATATTTTCTGCTATGAGGATGGAGAACCAGAACCTGGGCATTAGCTTTGGACCAAAAGATGCTTTGTTCCAGGTTATTCTGTCTTCCTCTTTTTCTCTCGGGCAATATCTGCCGCGATTCTGTATTTTGTTGTTTGTTTTGAATCATGTCAATCGCAGGATATTGTATGTACTTTGTTTTGTGATGTCACTTTTGCTTACTATTGTGTATATACCAGTTTTTTTACTTTTTACTATAATTTAGCGACATATACAGTTTTTCCGTAACCATTCAAATCGGGGCAAGGTGTAATATGCATCTGTTATGATGAAAGTCTAGGTATATGAGCAGAATGATTCTCTAGCAGCTACGGCGTGTGGACTTGGTGGGGGTTCATTAGTGAATGCAGGAGTTCTGGTTCCAGCACCAGCTCGTGCTAGACGAAATCCAAAATGGCCAAAGGATTGGGAAGGAATTGGGATAACTGTGAAGCTTCTGCGGCAGCCATGCTGAAAGCACAAAGCATTCCTGTCAAGTTTCCTGCCGCAAAAGTCTTGGAAGAGGTTGCTTTTGGAGAGACTGAAGAAGCTTTTGAGACTTCGGTGAAGCTAAGCGTGAATTTTGACCTTGAAGAACTACAAACTGATGCAATGGGTACCTGCTTAGCCTGTGGAAACTGTCTTTCTGGATGTCCTTATAATGCCAAAAGTTCTACTGACAAAAATTATCTGCGTTCAGCAATCCAGGCATGTCTTATGTTATCTAATGGATCAATGAAGTTCGTAAAAAAAAATATATATCCATTAGGATGTAATAGATGTTCGTGTTTAAGTTTTTACCGTACCTTCTCCGCTAAAACCAGTGTTTCTTGTGAAGCAGGCAGGCTGCATAGTTAAAACAGAATGTCAAGTACAGTATGTGGTTCGAAACATGCATGAAAACTTCCAATACAAAGGAGAAAGCAGTAGAAAAAATAGAAGATGGCTTATTTACTTGAATGAGATTGATTACATAACCTCTGATTTTGTAATCCTATCAGGTGAGAAACAATCAAATTAGGTATTCTGAAAATTTTAATCACAAAGACTCTTAACAATTTCTAGACTTGTTTTTTCGCAGCGGGAGTTTTTGGCACCACTAAAATACTCTACCAGTCAAGAATGAGAGGACTAAAACTTTCTGAAGCACTTGGATCTGGATTCAGCTGCAATGGAAATACTGTGGCTTATCTTGCTGGGAGCCCAGCACCACTGAATGGTTATGGATTAGACAGAAAGCAAATGTTTAAGACACCATTTGAAGAAAGGCCAGGGCCATCCATCTCTTCCTCTTACACTTCTTCGCTCGGCTTTACAATACAGGTTCAGAAACTTCTATAAACTTAATTCACTTCAGTTTTTCATTCATGTAAAATCTATTGGTTTGGTCACAAATGACTTTTACTTTTTTACGTAATCAACGATGTATCATATAGATATCTGGTGGGAAAATCTAGCTGTAGTCTGGCTTTTGTGGAAAACGAGTTACATATATATATATATATATATATATATATATGAAGTATGCATGCGTGTATATAAATGTTAATCTCTGAAGATATAAGTTTAAAAATGTTTTTTCCTGGTTTGATGGATTTGGATTCATCAACCTCTTATGTAGTCTTCATTGTTACAGAGTGCTGTACTTCCAACATCTTATCCGTACCTGCTGTTTAAAGGAATTACAACCTACGGATGGCCTACTGGATACTGGTTCCTTCATGGGATTATAGACAAGATAAAGCATATCATAGGTTGCAAAGCAACCCAAGCAATGGTTCTTATTGCATTGGGATATGATGAGAGCGATGGTAAGATCACGTTGGAAAAGGGCACGAACAAAATCTGCTTTACCCCGCCTCATGATTCCCTTCTCCCACGAAAAATTACAGCTTTCCAAAAGCTCACTAAGAAATTAGGAGGAATTCTCTTTATGTCAAAATACCGAAGCACATCAGTTCATCTTTTAGGAGGGTGCAATGCATCTTTAGATCCTTCACACGGTGTTTGCAACTCCAACGGGCAGGTTTTTGATCTGGTGTCGCCTATCACTGTACATCCCGGCCTCTATGTATGTGATGCTTCTTTGATCCCATGCTCTATTGGAATAAATCCTTCTCTTACTATTGCGACGGCAGCTGAGCACATAAGCAAGAACCTTGTGCAGGATGCTCTAAAGTACAGAGAAGGTCTTGCATCTGTTCCTAAAATTGCTAACCAAGGTCAGGATTCCTTCACTGATAAAACTATAGTTAATGGTCAGAGATCAGAGGTCTTGGTCAAAGAAACAATGAGAGGTTACGTTGGGGGTATGCCGTGCACAGCTTATCTCAGAATGAAGATGAACCCTCAAGACCAGAAAGGACCGAATGAGCGGAAGTTGGGTACTCAAGAAGCCCATTCCCTTTTAAGAGGGAAAGTTGGAGGGCATGTGAAACTTAGAGCCTTTGAGAAGGATGATTTACACGTCTTAGACGGGGACGTAAATTTTTGCGAGGTAGATTGCAGAACTCCTTACACACAGTACATGCATTACCATCTTCTTCTCGGGGCTTCTACTGGTTCAAGGTATATAAAACTTGAAAGTTCGATAAATTGTCTTACTTTCATTTTTCTCACAACGATTTTGATGCAGATATATTCTTGAGGGAAGAAAGATAATGAATCCTTTTATCTCTGCATTACATGCTTGGAGGGAGATGACAACACTGCATGTGACATTTGTGAAAGTTGCTGAGAAAAACTCGGAGGATGAGAAGGTTGTTTTAAAAGGCGAGCTTAGCATTTCGATGAAGGAGCTTCTTAAGAGTTTCATAAGCCTTGAAGGAAACAAGAGGGGAAGGTTCTTATGCCATCTATTAGGGGCCCTCTTGAGAACCTATATATTGCAGATACCTCGAGGGAACCACAAGGATTTAGATTCATCCTATTTTCAAATTAAATCTTATCCGAGCGGCATTCTCCATGAATTAAAAACAGGTAGCAAATGTTTTTGTTTTCTGTTTCCGGTCCATTTCTTGCTGCTATAGAGTTCCTAATTTCTTGTCCATATATTGTCAGAAGATGGATTCAATATCAGTTGTAGGCAATGGAAGTGCCACCATATTTTGCCACAACTTAAAGGAAATGAGCAACTAAATCCAGTTCTTCTTCTTAATGGATACTCCACCGAGAGTTACTGGCTGCCAACAGAGCCAAATGATTTAGTCAGAACTCTGCTTGAAGGAGGGCATGAAACATGGCTACTGCAATCACGATTGCACCCTCTGAATTCGTCAAACAGTTTTACGATTGAAGATATTGCAAGATTTGACATCGCTGCTGGTAAAAGACCAAATACACCTACTGTAATTGTACTTAACTCTTACTAATCCTATTGTATGTCAATGAGCGTTTTCCTGCTTCACTTTTTCTGCAGCAATTAATAAGATTGTTGAGTTGCATGGGCCGCGCGTGAAGGTGCATGTAGTTGCACACTGTGTCGGAGGCTTAGCCATACACATAGCTGTCATGGGAGGTCACGTCTCTGCAACCCGTATTGCTTCTCTCTCATGCACCAATTCTTCAATGTTCTTCAAGCTTAGTCCTTGGTCCAGAGTTAAAATGTGGCTTCCTCTGATGCTGGTGAGTTCTCACTCTCGCTCCCCACCCCACTCCCCCACCCCCTGCCCTCCACCCATCTCTCTCTCTCTCTATAGATTTAGGATGGAATACAACCAAGCAGGAAACTTATTAATTATTATGAACAAGGGGAGGAAGGAATTAAATAAAGTTTGTAGTAATTCAAAAATTATTAAATCGTAAAGCAAGCTCACATTAATTTTACCTGCGAGAGCCTCAAAAGTTCCTTTTAATATGCAGATATCAATGTTCATACTTGGAAATGATAAGACGCTTCCTCTGTTGGAGACATCAACCGTCAGCTTACGCCACAGCCTCCTAAAACTTATAGCCCGCTTCATACCCCGCTACGAGAGATGCACCTGCAACGAATGTGAAGTTTTCTCAGGAATCTTCGGAAACACATTCTGGCACAAAAACGTAAGCCCCACCATGCACCAGTGGTTGAACAAGCAAAGCTCTACAAAACTTCCCATGGCAGCATTTCCCCACCTGAGAAAGATATGCAACTCCGGTTTTATAGTAGACAGCAACGGCAGCAACTCATATTTGATCCATCCAGAAAGAATGGCACTCCCAACGCTTTATATATCCGGAGGGCGGTCTCTCCTCGTGACTCCTCACACATCTTTCCTCGCTCATAAGTACATGAAGTTGCACCAGCCAGGATTCCATCACGAAAGGGTAGTTGTGGAGGGTTTCGGGCATTCGGATTTGTTGATTGGAGAAGATTCTCACAAGAAAGTTTTTCCTCACATTTTATCTCACATACGATTAGCTGAAAGCGGAAGGAGTGGGAAGGGAAAGAGGTTCAGAAAAGAGATATTGGATTGGGAAGCTGATGATCTGTATGAAGGATTTGGGGGATTTGGAACATGGTTTTCTCCTCCTGTTGTTGTTGTGCTGTTGTTTATGTTGTTTTTTCTGCTGGTGTCTTTGTTTTTGTAGCTTCAGACCAAAACAAAACAAGTCAATGTTTTTGTTGTTGGATAAAACAACGAACTGCAGATGATTCCATGATTGTCATGTAGCTTCGTTTTTAAGTATGTTTGGGAGAAAATAGTGAGGAGTTGCAAATGCAATTAGGGTTCTTTAAGGAGCTGTAAACCTAATAACACAGGGAAATTTCTTCAAATGCTACGTATTGTTGAATGATATGAGAATGAATGAATGGATGCGACTGAAAATAGAATATCTAAATAGTTGTGAAAATCAAATTGAGCGGCTAAATGAATACGGATACTAGATCTCCTCTCTTGCGGCCCAAGATACGTTATGGATTTGAATATGAACACTAAATCTCCTCTCTTGCGACCCAAAATATGTAGCATTGAAGTCATACCCATAACTCAAATGTTGTATACGTTACCAAAATATTACTGACCCGTATTGTTTTATAGGAACCATTTTAGCTAACTTTGGCTTTTTTGTTGTTCTCTCTCTCAGTTGATTTTTCAATGTGACTGAAATATAGGATGATACAGCACGTGTTACTATACAAATGGTGGGATATGTGTGAGAAAAAGGTAATAACTTAAAAAATGAAATTTCCCACCACCTGTATAAAAACACGTTGTGTACCACTTGTATTCCAGTTACAATGAAAATTTTCTCGTTTGCCTGGTCCTCCCAACCTACAAATATTCGTTTCTGAAACGTATAAGTGGCGTGGTAATTGCTGTGAACACAAGTAACCCAACAGGATCCTCTCGGAATCCTTTTGGTGAGGATCTTAGGGATTCATCTTGTCGGTTCATCGTATATCGTACGGTCAATTTTTATCATATACTGTTTGTATTTAATTTTAAATAAAAATATTTAAAATAATTTCTAACCGTACGATGTACGATGAACCGATACAATTCACCTATTTACGACGAGGATCCGGATTCGCAAGTAACCATTAACGGTCAAGAGAGAGAAAGAGAAGCATTTGGTGACGTGGCAATAACCCATTAGCCTCATCGTCTCTTCTGTCTCCGTCTTCCACCAAGATGCCCACTCAAAGTCTCAAACCTCCCAAAGATTCCTCTCTCTCTCTCCCTCCTCTGCTCTCCCTCACCAAAACCCTCCTTCCTCTCTCTCTCTGCTTTTTGGCTGATGAGATGAGCAGAGCATAGAAGCTTTACAAAAATGGCTTCTTTCTCACTCACTTCTCATCCTCCCCCTTCCTCCAATACCCTACTTCCCTCCTCCATCTCCTCCCATGGAATCCCTAGACGTCTCTCTCTGTCCAAATTCACCTCCCCCCGTCCCCAAATTTCCTGTTCTGCTTCCAAGGAATCATCCCCCGGCGATAACACGCCAAGGTAATCAAGAGCCCGTCTGGATTGCTTTCTCTGTAAAGCACTTTTACTCATAAGCACTTTTACTATAAACACGTTTAAAATTTTATTAAAATCCAAGTGCCTTGAAATGTTGTATTAAAAATTCAAGTGCTTTATGAAGAAGCATCTCACAGGAGCATTTCTTGTCTGAAAAGAACTTCTATGAGCCAAAAGCATTTAGCCCTTTTGGCTGTCAGAAAGCGCTTTTAGCAATCCGAAACTGAAATTCAATTTTGGTCCTTCTGTTTAGTTAACGGGAAAATGTTAAGCTTTCTGTGTTCTGTTTTCTTTCCTCAGCACCTTTTGTATCATAGAAGGGCCGGAGACGGTACAGGACTTTGTGCAGATGCAACTGCAGGAAATTCAGGACAACATAAGAAGCCGGCGCAACAAGATTTTTCTTCTCATGGAAGAGGTGAAAACAGAAAACTCAAAAGTGTTTGATATATATTTGATCATTTACATTTCAGTAATTAGGGGATTGTTAACTTCTTTGTTTGATATATGTTTGGTTTGTGTAGCTAAGGAGATTGCGGGTGCAGCACCGGATGAGGATGGTGAAAGATATGGATGAGGCTTGTGAGGAAGAGTCAAATGAGATGCCTGACATTCCATCCACTATCCCTTTTCTCCCTCATATGGTGAGTATCATCTACAATTTAGTTAACCGCCTTAAGTTTGCTCCTTATCGACGTCCTCAAACAAGTTGGGATATTTGGATAGTTAGCTAAGAAGTCAGAAGCACATATGGGTTTAGATACAAATACTAACCTTATATTTCAAGAGGGGGCATGCGGGTTGAAAACGATAATTGACAATGAATTATTGTCCATGTTTGATAAGATGGTTATGTTTCTTTGTTTAGCTCTTGCTGAGTCCGTTTCTTGTGCCAACAGTCACCAACTAATACCTTTCCAATTAAATGTCCAACTAAAACAAGTGCTCGTATGCCAAAATTTTCATGTCTGTATGATATTTTTCTTCTGAATTCTGTGTTGTGCAAGCACTTTACCTTTTATTTCAGCTGACATTGTGTGATATGTGTTACAATGTAGACACCAAAGACATTGAAGCAGCTCTACCTCACAAGCTTATCCATGATATCTAGTGTAATTGTATTTGGGGGTCTCATTGCACCATCGGTAAGTCTATAAGCATGGATGATTGTTTATAGTGAATATTTCCCGATGGCTCCATACATGTATACTTTTTTAAAGGTGGATTCCCATTTTTTTTACCCTTTACCTGCTTATATGTTTACTGGCCCTTAAAGCGTGATGCTACATGTTCCTCTGTTTATTGAGGATATCTTCGGTTGAGGTCATAACGGATTAGGAACCTTAGTTTTGATGTTCATGTTTTGTGCCTATTGGTTAGACTTAGAATTCTTCACTGTTATATGTGTTAAATGTCTCAACCTGTTCTCTGTGACAGCTGGAACTAAAATTAGGTATAGGAGGTACCTCGTATGAAGATTTCATTCGTAGCATGCATCTGCCTTTACAATTAAGGTATATACTGAACATGTTTTTTTTTTTTTTTTCCCGATTACAATTAGAAATTCAAGCAACCAGTACAGTTTTTCTTGCTTACAGTTCTGAAATCCCTTCTGTTTGATTTTGATTTCAGTCAGGTTGATCCTATTGTGGCATCCTTCTCCGGTGGGGCAGTGGGTGTCATTTCAGCATTGATGTTGATTGAAGCTAACAATGTTGAGCAGCAAGAGAAGAAAAGGTGCAAATATTGCCATGGAACTGGTATGTTTTAAACTGCCATAAATGAAATGTGCCGACTGATAAAGTTCTAAGGGATAAGTGGATCATTTGTTGAATGGGGTTATTTTTATATCTTCTTGCGGTTAGTTTTTATGAAGTTTGCATATGCTGATAACTTTATGAAAATAACAAGTAAAAATTGGCTTAGGTTCTGGCTCTTACAACGCTATTAGTTTCTTCGAATTTTACGGAAGTTCTCCCTTGCCTTTCTCATCACTGAAAATCTTTTCAACTTTGTTACTTTTCTGATGTTTTTTACCTTTCTTTAATTTCTCGTTATAAATGTTATTTCTAATGTTATATTGTTCTCATACTTTTGGTTTTAATCTGGTAATTTTGTATGGGCAAACATGGGCAGGGTACTTGGCCTGTGCTAGATGTTCTGCAAGTGGAGCGTGCTTGAACATCAATCCTATATCAGCATCTAGTGCATCGGACCGCCCTTTGCGAGTGCCCACAACTGAGAGGTGCCCAAATTGCTCTGGTGCTGGAAAGGTACAAAATTTGTTGCTAGGTGGTTTATTCATGAGAAATGATGGCACTGCAATTTTTCACACTTATCTCTTGGTGTTGTTGATCATTTGTTTCGTGCTACACTTGCTTCAAATCTTTCCACAATTTCATCGTATCATGTTTGCTGATTGCTTACTCTTGCTGAGCTTGAAGGGAAGAAAGAATTATAATGGGATTTACAATGATTTGTCAAACTTCCGAAAGGAATTTTGTGCAGAAAGGCTTTAATTCCATTTGTTTCTTTTGATAGGAGATTTGCATCATCTATTGTAATGCCAAACTCTCTCTCTTTCGCTCTCTACTAGGACTAATCACCTTCCATGTTCGCTTAGGTCATGTGCCCGACGTGCCTGTGCACTGGGATGATGATGGCAAGCGAGCATGACCCGCGGATTGATCCATTTGACTAAAGCAAACCAGATGAATAACTTAGCGGTGTTATCTCCTCGTCGATGCAGCTCTGGAATATTTTCCATTCCAGCCCTTAATTTTCGACTGCCCAAAGACACAAAATAGTATATAAAGTTACGGTTGTTTAAAAGCAAAATAAGTTGAATAGAATGGTTTTCAAAATTTGGCCATTCAAATTAGCATTGTGTGTTTAACTTGTGCCAAATGTTGGGTTGATTGCAAGAGCACTTAATGTAAACTAGGAATCATCGCAAATTTATGTGTTTGATGAAATGGGTTACAACTTACACATGGATTTGGGAACTTGGCTGTGAAGAAATGCCAATTTAGATGAATTTGTTGCTTTTTGTTGACATAAAAGTAGAGATATCTTCTATGAGCAATTTAGATGCAAAACTTATTAGGTCATCCCCAATGGAGAAGGTTAAAGGTCTAAAAGCAAAAAAAATGATCTAATTTGCCCAAAAATTCATCTCCAACCGATGATTGGGTTGTAATTTTGTGGAGCCCATCAGGCTATTATTTGGTCGAAGGGCCATCAGGTTGGTCAAATGTAGCCCCCCTTCTAGCCGTTTTTCGGTGCTCAACTCTTCAATTACAATAATTGATTTAAATTAACCAATAAATTTAAAGTATAAACTTAAAACAATTAAATTATTGAGGGGGGGTTATGTTTAGCTTCCTTCGGTTGAAGATGTTATATGAGTACGACCTGATACTATTTATTATTATTATTATTATTATTATTTTATTTCATTTTTTTACAAGGCTATAATTTTGAACGGAACTATATCTAGCCATATCGATTAGAGATGGCCTTAGTGGCTATTCACGTCTGAGAGCTATGATTGGAGGAAATCATCAGTAAGCTTGACCCATGGGGCAGTCTCTCACAAGGAGTCGGGAATGGATGTAGGTCCGGCACTTGGGGCCTACATTTTGGCAGAAGTGATAGAGTTGCTGCATGAATAGTCGCAAGTAGTCTCTTCATATTTACCAACCAATTTGTATTTAGTTGCAGGATCATTTCCAGTAAGCAAATCAGATTCCATTACTTCCCTGCAATCAGAATTCTGTTATCCATTTAGGCTTCAACAATTATGAATGGATTAGCAATGTGAAGAGCACAAGTTCAATTGGTTATTGCACGATTAATTTTTTTTTCAAACAGATGTTATCTCAATTAGGAGAAATTCTTGCATACAACTATCGCATACGGATTCTCTCCTAACAAGGAGACTCTACACATGAGCCTCTTCATGTGGGAGGACTGTCGTATCCGGAAGCTAATAGTACCTATGAACGACTCACTTTTGTAGATTAACTGAGAAGTATTAGAGTAAATGATAGTTAAATCTGCATGGTTAGCACGAATAGGACAGTTTGGCCGAGTGGTCTAAGGCGCCAGATTTAGGCTCTGGTCCGAAAGGGCGTGGGTTCAAATCCCACAGCTGTCAATTTTTTTTTTTTTTTTTCTTCCAACACTTTCCGTTGGTACTCCCGCGGAAGGTAGAAACGACGTCGTGCAACTCATAATTTAATCTCCTTGTTTCTTCCATCACAGTTGGAATAGTTGACAGTTTTAGCCGTCGTCATGGCTCGGATCCTCGGAAACAAACCGGGTCTTCACCACCTCCTGACCCGATTCACAATCTCACGACGGCCGCTGCAAACCCTGGCCTATGAAGAGCTCCGACCCTCCGACGCGGACCCACAACAACCCTACCGCTCCACCGCTTTCATCCTCCACGGCCTCCTGGGCTCCGCCAGAAACTGGCGAACTTTCTCTCGCTCCCTCCTCTCCAATCTCTCCGATCCATCTGGTCTCTCTCTCTCTCTCTCTCTCTCTCTCTCTTTCCCTCCCTCTCCCCCCCTCCCTCTTCTGCTCCTCTCGATTACTTGATTTCTCCGTTTTTATTGACACAAATTTCCAATTGCAGGTTGGAGATTGGTGCTTGTGGATTTGAGGAACCATGGGAAATCGGCCGAGATCGAAGGTCTGAACCCACCTCATGATTTGGTCAATGCGGCCCGAGATTTGGCTGATTTGGTTGGGACTCAGGGTTGGGACTGGCCCGATGTTGTTCTCGGCCACTCCATGGGCGGTAAGGTTGCTCTGCAATTTGCAGAGAGCTGTGCTCTTGGTGACTATGGCGATTCCGCTAAGCTACCCAAGCAGGTATTCGAGCTTCCCCTCATAAGTTCATCACTTGTGCTTGCTCTTTTGTGCCGAAAGTAGAATTATTTGGGAATATTTTTGAGTTAGTTGTGTAAATTCAAGAGCTTTATCATTAACTAACCAGTACCTTAATATAAGCTCATCGTTCTAGCGAAATGAACAAAATTGGGAAGCTGTTTTTGCTTGCTTGATGCAGGTTGAGTATATAGTGTGAATTAGGATGATATGTTTTCCGTGGGTTGGGGTGTTCGCAAGGCATTTTTGGTTCCGAGAGAGCTCTCACTCGATTGCATGTGTTGCATCTTGGGGATCATCAGGTGGGACTCCGTGTATGTGACTTTTGAGCACTGTGGCTCCTGAACCCTGAATGTTGAAACTTTCCAGCCAAATACTTGTAGGCTTGTAATTTCATTATCATGATTAGTTGGGTTTGTGGATGAAACATGCTTAGTTTCCCCGTTTAGGTTTATGAGAAAGTATTGCTTCGTAGTGCTATGTTTGCCTAATGAACTGAATTGAAACCAAAGTTACCGATTATCTTTCAGATTGGTTTTCCATTTTAATATGACTATGGCCGTCAAATAGGGCCAGCTTAGCCAGTGGCCTAGTAAATTCTAACTTGTAAACTTATATACGAGGGTCAAAGTTTAAGATCATGTGTGATTGAAGGTTCAGTTCCCTTTGCACTTAAAGATATTTTGTGCGCTTTGTACTTTCTTTGTGATCCAGAACAGCTGTGGGTATTGGATTCTGTTCCAGGAGAAGTGAGCCGTGACAAAAGTGATGGGGAAGTTGAGAAAGTTTTGCAGACATTGCAGAGTCTACCTTCGTCAGTTCCATCGCGAAAGTAAAACCTCTTTCTCCTTATGATAGATTATTTTGATATTATTAACTGCATGTATTATGGGGTTATCTGTTCATAAGTAGGTGTCAAGTCGAGTCCTTTATATATATTTTTTTCTTCTTCTGTATGATACCAATTTGGAGACGACAATAATCTGTACATTAAAAGGAGTATTTTAATCAAAGTCATTATGTTTAGTAATGTTGGCACACACAACGCCTGCTCTACTCTCAGATTGCTTCACTCAAGTGAGAGCCTTGGATTCTGTCTAGCTTTACTCTGATTACAGGAGTCTAGATAAATCCATTAGGAGACCATTGTTTTTTCTTCAAAACTTTGTTACATACTGGTGTTACAAAATTATCAAAATGTCACATGACGTTCATGTTTCCAAGTTTTTATGTGATGAATTTGGTTCTTGGCTTCAGATGGCTTGTGAATCATATGATTGAACTTGGATTCTCAAAGTCATTGTCAGAATGGATAGGCACCAACCTCAAGAAACAGGGAGATCACGAGACGTGGACGTTCAATCTCAATGGTGCTGTCCAGATGTTCAAGTCTTACCTGTAAATATCTTATTGATTTGATATCAGTTCTTGGAAGTAGAAAGAATGAATTTTTTCCCCTCCCTCCCCCTTACCTTTCACACTTTCTATGAATCCAAATATCAGGGAGAAGTCCTATTGGCCTCTGTTGGAGCATCCACCAAAAGATATGGCGATAGATGTTGTGCGTGCTGAGAACAGTGATCGTTGGGACCCCGATGTGGTTCAACGGCTTGGAAGCCTTGCCAATAGGGAAGCCAATGGATCAGAGGGAAAGGTTTCAGTTCATGTTCTTCCCCAGTCTGGCCACTGGGTTCACGTGGACAATCCGAAAGGTCTTCTTGAGATTGTGGCACCTAGGATTTCATCCCTTTGATCCGCCACAAGATGCACCGTGGAGTAGAGATTTCGTCATTATCGTTCTACTATTATGGCTGTCATCAGCACCTTCATGGAATGAGTGAGGCTGTGTTAATCATACTTTATGTTTTTTTTTTCTGGGCTAAATGTTTACCATTCTGTTTCATCATACTTTATGTCTATCGTTTGATATCAACGAACAAGAACTCGAAAACCTTGCCACTCGCGAAGCAGATGGATCGGAGGGGAAGGTTTCAGTTCATGTTCTTCCCAAGTCCGGCCATTGGATTCACGTCGACAATCCAAAAGGTTTCCTTGAGATTGTGGCACCTAAGAATTCATTCCTTCGGCCTTAACCATATCGGGTTTAATTTATCTGCCACAGATGATATGTTGTGTAGATAACAATGGTAATTCCAAGTGTTTCGGTTATTCACTTGTAATAAAGCATTTGTGTCTTATTTCTGCTTATCTGTTCTGGTTTTTTGGATTTCATCTAGATTACATTATAAAATAGCTTACTTGTAGCAATGGTTCCGAACTTTATCTTTAGTTTAATTATAGTCTCTAAACTGTTATATTAGTTTCTTTAGTCCTTGAACTTAATAATGTGTTGCAACATTGGTCATTTTTACTAACACAGTCTCTTTTTTTTTCCCGTTAAATTTAGGGTATATTAAAAAATTAAACATAAAACTTAAAAAAACAATAGAAGAAGCTAAAAAACAAATAAAAATTTATAAATGAATATCAAAAACTTAAAACAAAATGAAATTTGAACTATAAAATTAATAAATGAAATGGTTGAACTTTAGCAACTCGTAAATATTAGGCAATGTGATTTCAAATTGGTAGGAAATTGAACTGTGGCTGCACTTAAACAACTAACAAATCACAAACTAAACTACGAAAAAAAATTCCTAATGTATTCAATTTCTTACACAAGAATAATAGATTTTTTTAGGGTTTTTATTTCTCTCTCGTTTCTTTTTTTTTTTTTTAATTCATTTTTAGTGATGTTACTGATGTGTGATGAAGTTTCTAATATACTTCTAAATTCAAAGAAACAATAGGTGGCATTAGTGAAAATGAACGAACATATTGTTAAGTTTGAAGACAAAAAATGACTTTCAAAAAAACATGTCAAGTGATAAATTTTCAGATAAGTTTTCCAATTTTATTGTGTATATGTGTAAAAAAAAAACTATAATCTCGCACAATATTGCTCAATTTATGTAACTTCCTTCGTCGCCTTTTCGAAGGTGACGGAAATTTTTTTGTTAGCATATCCATTGCAAAGGAAGAACCAACATGAACTATGTAGAGTAGAAAACTTGTGAATGAGTCGCTAGCTATAAGAAATAACCAATGGTTTCAACCACAATGTTAAAGGGGGGAGTAGACTAGCGTTGGAACAAGAACAATAACTAGCTTCGATCGCTTCCATTGCACCAGTTTGCAGTTTTAGAAACCAGCCGGAACCCCGCCTTTTCTTGGATCGCTCACTGCCAAAATCTCCGGAGTACCTTCATTTTCCGTCGAAGCCTTGTGAACTATAAACTGGCAAATAGCCCCAGAAGTAAGGGGCTCTAGGATATGGCCCTTCTTTTGTAGGGATTTCCTGATTTGAGTAGGAACTTCAAAGTGATCGCCAGTCACGGACGTCCAATTCTCATAACGAACCACATTAGGTAATAGCTGCTTGCACAGAAATGTTTCAGATTAGTAGTTTTAGTTGAGATTCCGTTTAGCGTACACGTCTCAATAATTCGTTAAATTACCTGATGATAGACCCTTGGAGCCATGACGGAAGAGAGTGGATCCATTCCCCTTGCAAAATGATTCAAGAGAACTTCCGCAGTTGCCGGAATGATGAAGACTCCCCCGCTCGCGCCAACTACAGCATTCAGTTGGTCATCCTGTCACGCATATAAACAAGCCATGTCAACATATTGGGCACGGATACGCTGCATACAAAACGTAAGATTTAGGTGGTTCTGCATTACCTTTAACACTATAGCAGGTGTCATGGACGATAACGGCCTTTTTCCTGGCCGGATAAAATTGGGTGGCGCTGGTGGTGGACTTGCGGAAACATTTCCAGGTATGGAGAAGTCATCCATTTCATTGTTTAAGACTATTCCTGTACTCGATGACAGTATATGTGCACCGAAGTATCCGTTTACAGTAGTCGTCATGGAGACGGCATTTCCCTGAGGATCTACGATAGACAAGTGACTAGTTCCATGATCATTGATCTGACTCCACCTGTTAGGAAATAAGGAGTCATTATCGTCGATGAAACATGATCAAGTGCAAGCAACTAGATAATCAACTTCTTGCCAATCAAAGAATTTACCTGCCACCGTAATGGCTGGGATCAAAAGTCATGTTGTCATATATGGTTTTCTTCATCTGCTCAGCAAACTCAGGAGAAAGCATATCAGCTAGAACTTTAGTCACATTTACAAAGTCAGGATCACCGAGATTCATCCTCACGGCGAAAACATGTTTCAAAGATTCAATTTCTCGATGAATCCAAAGAGGATCCGGAACTCCAGAAGCATTTCCATATTGCGAAAGTATGTTTAGCATCTGTAGAGTGGAATTGACAAGAGTAGTCCATAACGAACCTATTTGAACTGCTTCTTTAATTTGTCAAAAGAGACGAAAACTGAAACAAAACAAAAAAAAAAAGGTGACACTAATCAAGAACAAAGATTTACTCACGAGTATCAACGGAGGACCACCAGAAGGAGGAGGCATAGCCAGTATTTTAAGCCCTAGTGTGTCAGCAGATACCGGCTTTCTCAGCCTTACTCTATAAGTTTGCAAGTCCTTCATTGTCAGTATTCCTCCAAGCTTCTGAACATCTCTAATCAATTTGGACCCAATCGATCCGTTGTACATGGCTACGGGACCAAACTTCGAAATTTGATTGAGTGTCTCTGCCAGTTTTATGTTCCGACATATCTCACCTGTCTGCAAGAGACTCCCATTTGATGTAAATATATGACGAAGTCCCTCGTTTGCCAAGATTCCTGATTCCGCCGTAACCATTTGTCTGTGGAGGTAAGGTGAAATCTTAAATCCCAAACGAGCAAGACGCTCAGCAGGTCTTACAAGCCTATCCCACGAAAGCCTTCCATGTTGTTTCCAAGCTTCATGAAGACCCGCCAGTTCCCCTGGAATTGCTACCGAGAGAGCGCCTGTACCTTTCAGAGTAACATTGGCAGCATACATATTCTGAAAAAACAGTTATCGAATACACTCGAGTGACAACCAATTAAGGCAACGAATTCGGTAAAGCATGTACAGCACAACGAACCTCGGAAGCAAGCAATGGGGCGGTTTCTCTCATATCAAAGGCGTGTGCTTCCCCGCTGGCTAGCCGGACAAGCATGAAGGCGCCGCCTCCAATGCCGCTCGATGCTGGGCTAACAACCCCTAAGCACAGAGCAGCAGCTACTGATACATCAACGGCATTACCGCCTTCGAGAAGAACATCCTTCCCGATTCTAGAACACCGGCGATCATCAGTGGCAACCGCACCGTGGCGTACTGAAATGACCTCCGGCCTACTTTTGGCGGAACCACTCGTAGCACTCCAAGTAGGAAGCAACAGTGAAAGGAACACAAGTGCAATGGTAAGCAACGACATCATCCAATCTACAACAAACAGAAACAGAAACACATTCTGATCAACTCTCACTCCATGCATATATACATATAATATATATATAAAGACTTACCAGAATTTCCCATTGGAGTTGGTGATCAAATGAAACAGGGGATGATGGAATTCAAAACCAAATTTTCTGTTTGCTATTTTTTCGATTTGTAAGTAAAAATAAAAAAAGAAGAAAAAATGTCAGTGTGACTCACATGACATGGTGAGAGTGTAAAATGCTCAGATTTTTTCAGCCAGCGTCGTCGTCTCGCCTTTTTCCTCTGCCTTTCGACCAGCAGGAGTCGTCCTCAATAGTAAATGGTGGTCCAAACTGTCAAATGCGCGCACCTACCAAAACCACATAGCACGCCATTTTCGAAATTATCTGTATCCTCTGTATCGGATTCGGATAGTCAAAGACTAGTTCAATCACCAACAGGATCCTCTCCGGATCTTTTTGGTGAGGATCTTGGAATCTGTCAATATTATCTGTTTATTGTATATTATACCGTCAATTTTTGTTAAGTACTGATTATGTTTAATTTTAAATAAAAAATATTTAAAATAATTTCTGATCGTAAGATTGACGAATTCCCATAATCTGCATAAAAAGTACCCGACGAGAATCCGGTTCGTTCAATCATTCAGTAGTTTAGATATTCAACGTAGAGAGTGAGAATGTTGAAAAGTTTGAGGTTTGTGGGGTCGAGTTCGGAACCGCACATCGCCACGTAGTGGGCGGCTAGCAAGGAGCAAATTGGTAACCAGGTAGTCTAGGTTCGTGGAGTAATTTTATTTTCTAACAAACTATATTATTCATATTTTTTAAATCGGAGCTTCAAATTAGTTTCGGTCAGAATCAAATTTAAAAGTTTTTATTTACAAAGAATGCAATATGCAAGCATTCGTAAGGCAACAATAATTTTTCGCTCAAGAAGGGGGCCTATGACACCAAAAGCATCATTCTTTTGCACAAAGTAAGAATCATGGTTGCAAACAGCAATCATGATTTTGTTGAACAAATGTTGTTGCATCTAAAACGACATCTGAAGTACACATCAAGGAACACACTGTTACGGTTAAAATAATCGTCCAAAAGATCCGTACCTCATTGTTGCCTCAATGTTTGTGGAATGCCTAGGCCTGGAGATCTTAGCCATAACTTGGATGACTCGACGGAAATGTGAGGCTCTTTGGCTATTTGCTTCGTCATCTTTCCTTCTACACTCCTCATCTTCTTCCTCTTCCATTTCATTTCTCCCTCCTAGAGATTGAACATTTTTTCCCTTTGCTTAAACAATTCTTCCTCTTACTCATCGATTTCCCATAACATCCTTGAAGAAAACATTGTAAGAAGGAAGGAGAAATTATGAATAAGGATAGAGATTTTGAGAGATTTTGATTTTGGTGTGTGATTTCTTAGGATAGATGGTGGGTTATATGGAGAAAATCATAAAGGATTACGTTGTAAATAATGCCACGTGGTATGTTGTGATTCGTTAAAAAATTTATCGAAATTTATCCTGAAAGATTTTAAACAAATTGTGACACGTGGTGCAACGAGATTGGTTAAAAATCTTATCGGAAATCTATCATCAACGATTCTAAAAAGGTAACGACACGTAGTGCAACAGAATTTGATAAAAATCTTATCGAAAACTATCACAAAAAATTGTACTTTCGGACAATGACAAGTGGTGTAACGAGACCGGTTAAAAATCATATCTTAAATTACTGTTTAATATTTATTGCCATGACTATTTAATTTAGATGTGGAGATGCAAAAGACAATTACTGTTCATTAAATACAATTATTATTTATTGGAAGGGATTCAATTGTCAATTGTCATGGCAAGCCCTTACGTACTGGAATTGCTCTAAGAGCAGTTCCAGCGTGGTCCATTGTCCCTAGGGGCAATCCACTATGCTATGCATGCAGTGAACAGTAATTGCCATTAATGAACAGTAATCGTCTTTTGCATCTCCACCCCTGCACTCAATAGCCCTGACAATTCGTAATAAAATATTAATATATTTTTTTATTTATAAAATAATACAAAATAATTTTATTTGTAATTTCGGATAAGATTTTTAATCGTTATCGTTGTGCTACATGTCATTATTCAAAAAGACAATAGCAATAAAATATTAGTATTTTTTTTATTTATAAAATAATTCAGAATAATTTTATTCGTAATTTCGGATAAGGTTTTTAATTGTTCTCGTTACGCCACGTGTCATTATCCGAAAAGATAATTATTGGTGATGGATTTCCGATAAGATTTTTAATCGTTCTCATTGCGCCACGTGTCATTATCCGAAAAAACAATTATTGGTGATGGATTTCTGATAAGATTTTGAACCAATCACGTCGCGCCATGTGTCACAATCTGTTTACAATCTTTGAGGATAGATTTTCACCAGATTTTTAATGAATGACAGCATGCCACGTGACATTATCTACAACCTAATCCTTTATGAATCCTTCATATAATCCACCATCCATCCTCATAAATTTCACACCAGTGGAAATTGAAACAAGCTGATGATAATTAAGTTCATTAGTGTTTGTTTTTATTTGGTGTGTTTTTTTTAGTTCATTTAGTGAGTTTTTTTTTTTTTTTGGGTATGTTGATGTAATTTGATTTGGTGTGTGTTGATGTAATTTTATTTGGTGTGTGTTGATTAATTTTATTTGGTGTGTTTAAATATGTTTTGAATAAAGATTCTCTTAGTATAAATAAATTACCAAATTAAATAAATATACTCTTAGTTTAAATAAAGTACTAAATTCAATAAATTGGAAACAACATAAAGTACTCTATTCAATAAATAAGAAATTACAACCCAAATTAATTGGAAAATTATGGGCTCTAGTTACAAACAAAGTGATTGGAAAATTATGGGTTCGTGAATGGATAATTATCACCTAACCAATTTGTGGTGCTAGGATGATCTTCTCTTGTCGTGCTAGGACCATCTCTTCTTGCTCTCGCTTCTCTTGCACGCCTCCTTCACACCACGTCCGCTTTCTCCGACTTCCAAAAATATTTAGAGTTTGGAGACTTCCCTTCTAAAGGCTCCTTCATAATGTCACGATCTCGTTGAGCCATTCTTTCTTCTCTAACCTGTTCCCTTTCTTGCCGAAGTAGTTATCTTTCTCTCTCATTAGCTTGAAATTCTTTCTCAATAGCTGCAACTTTTGCATCCTCTTTAGCCTTATCAGCCTCAAATTTAGTCATTTCCCGAGCCAAACTCAATTCACCTTGGCGGGCAAGTTCTTCCATATACTTTGCATAATCATTCTTGGAAGCATTACCTTTTCTCTTTGAAGCCTTCTTACCTTGTTGAGGTCTAATTGGAAAACAGGTCGACCCCGATGCTTGTTCAACGGGGGGCGTTTCTTCTGCATCATCTTCATCATCATCATACGAGGCATGATCGGGCATATAGTGTAGAGGGGTGCTGTTAAAGGTCACTTCTGGACCGATAGGCACAACTTTGAATTTAGGACAATCTTTGACAATATTCCAACACTCCCACCGGTTGAACGATTTGTTTTTGCTTGTGGTTTTGGCATTATACCAAGCTTGTGCTTGAAGCTCCTACACAATGCGGGAGAATAAATAGTTATAATCAAAGTAGGTAATGTAAATTTGGGTATAGTACAAACAAATAAAAATTATATCGTTACTTGATCCGCTAAACTTTCCGCTAAACTTTCCCCACTTGGAAGATTAGCACTAGCTTGTACCAATACGTCTCTCCACGTACTAAATGATTTGCTCAGTAGTCTCCAACGACTGGACAAAGATTTTTTGGTTCTTTTCCTAGCAATTTTCTCAACATAATTGGTATGAATAAGACCCCACCTTTCTCTCAACTGCATCTCATTACCCGAAATCGGATCATGAGTAACTTTAACCCAGCTAGTACACAACGTAACATCTTCAATAAGCATCCAATTCGTACCTGCATCATTAGCCATTTTCTTGGAAAAAAAATTGGATTGAAACTTTGAGAGAACGGTAGGTATTTAAGAAAGTATGAAATTGAATTGAAACTTGACAATATATGAAATTAGATTTATAGAAAAGTAAATATATAAAAGTATGAAATTGAATTCAAACTTGACAATATATGTTGAATTTATAGAAAAGTAAATATATAAAACTATGAAATTGGATTCAAACTTGACAATATATGAAATTGGATTGAAACTTTGAGAAGATATGAAATTGTTGTGTAAGATGGAAGATAATAAGAAGGTATTTATAAAAAAATAAAATCAATTTTTTTTTTAATTTTTCAAATGTTTTTTTTTCGGGTTTTTAATAATTTTTCACATTTTTTTTAGATTTTTATTCACCTAATTAATCTATACCGTTGGATTTAAACCAATTTGAATTCTAACACTTCAGATTGTGCCACGTGGCATAACGGCAACATTTCTGATTTTTTAACTATTTCTTCTTTTTTTATTTTTTATTTTTAAAGTCTAAAGACATGGACCGTTGATCTCAAATCTAACGGCTGTTGATAAATGAAGTTTTCTTTATTTTTTTTTACCGTTGGAAATCCAACGGTCCAAAATTTATATTTGTTGTAATCCAACGGCTGTGGGGAAGCCACGTGGCTCCCCAATGATAAGATTTTTGAGTGCGCCAGGGGCCCAATGTCTGATTTTATGTCGGATTACGTGCGTCCACGCCGGCTTGAAGTCCACGCGCCTGACAAAAAAAATAAAAAAAGTGCGGCTGACGTCTCCCTGACGTCAGCCCACGTCAAATGGCCATCGGGCGCTCTAGCTAGAACGAATCCACGGCCCACTTGCTCAGGCCTGCTCTGGCTCCATTGCCAGCTCCCGCTGGACTTCCTCCCTCGGGCAATGGCCCACTGTTCCTCAGCCCGTCCCTCCAGCGGCTCCTCCCGCCGGAGCTGCTCGAAGGTAAGCTCCCAAACGCGATTACTTTAATAAGGGCAATGAGGTCATTTAGTTGCCCGGAATGCAAAACCCTAACTATAAAACAACCGAAATACGCAGGCAGGGTTTCTGGAAGCGCTGAGATTCTGCCGGAGCGTCGTCTTTCTGAATAGTCTGTGACCTCTTACCAAATCATTTGCTCACAGCCATGGTAAACCCTCTCTCTCCCTTTCTCTCCTCTCTGTATTTTTAGTGATTTATCCAATCTGGTTGCCGAGAAATTGAAAGTAAAATATGATCAGAAAATACTCTTTTTCCCCCCTTATTTTCTCGCCAACCAAACACATAACGAATTGTTGGATTGGAGAAGACTAATACTGTTTGGATTTATAGATTTACTGTGCAAGTACTGTGATAAATTATTTTATTTGGTATATATTTTTATTTGTATTTTTCGATTGTTTTTGTGGTCGAGGAAGAAGACCAGGGAGCCGAAGGAGGATAATGTTACACTTGGACCTGTTCTCCGTGACGGAGAGCATGCTTTCGGTGTTGCTCATATTTTTGCCTCCTTCAATGATACCTTCATTGTAAGTCCCATATTTTTCGGTTTGGATGTGATTATCACTTCCATTTGGAGTTGAATTTATATGTGAAATTGTTGGTTTCGGTGTTTCTAATCGCAGCATGTGACTGACTTGTCCGGTAGGGAGACTCTTGTTCGCATCACCGGTAAACTCTTAAACATCTATCTAAAAAATTGTTACTTGAAATAGTTGTTTGTGTTGTTTGATTTGCAACTGCATGGTTGGATGTCCTCCCCGGTAAATTTGTATACCCGTAGTTGATTGCCGAGCTATGTTATCGAAGCTCAGTGATGGCAATTTTCAAATATGAATGCCTCTGTTTTTTCATTTGTTGGTGTTCTTCTTAAACCGTTCCTTTTCCATAATGCGATGAATAGAAGTGACCGTTAATTGTAGTGTCCTGGCATACTCTGTTAGAAGATGATTTTCTGTTGATTATTCCACTGCTGTTGCTAAAATACTTGATTGCCTTTTTTCTTAATTTCAGGTGGTATGAAGGTGAAAGCTGATAGGGATGAATCATCGCCTTATGCCGCTATGCTTGCCGCTCAGGATGTTTCTCAACGTTGCAAGGTTTACCTGCCTTTTATTGCAGACTGAGTTTTATGATTTACATCCCTCTTTGATATCTATTTTCTGAGTTCTAATAAGTAATAATAAAATTAATTTGTTTTGCTGGCTGATTTTGCAGGAGCTTGGCATTACTGCTCTACATATAAAGCTCCGGGCTACTGGAGGGAACAAGACCAAGGCTCCTGGTCCAGGTGCCCAATCAGCACTCAGAGCCCTTGCTCGTTCTGGCATGAGAATTGGCCGCATTGGTAATTTCCTTTCCCCTTTCATCTCTCTGTGGCCTTGATAAATTTATAATGCATCAACATCCCTTTTTCATTGTCTGCCAATCTCGTATTAAATGTGTATTGTTCCACTTGTGATGCCGAGACTTTGGGAGCGATGATCAGTGATTATGGAACTTCGTTTTCTTCAAATGACATATTTTTGGTGCTTTTCTTGTTAAAAAAAAGAAAAAAGAACATTTGTGTGCTTGCTTGTAATGTTCGATCATGAGAATAGTTATCTTTGCAGTCGTTGATTTTTGTTTTTCTGTTTTGACAGAGGATGTGACTCCAATTCCCACCGATAGTACTCGTAGAAAGGGTGGTAGAAGGGGAAGAAGGTTGTAATTTCTTACCTCGCCTTCAACTGTGTCGTGTTCTGCTGCTGCTCGGTTTCAGTAGATTCATTTATTTTGGATCAAACTATTATCATCAGCCATTCGATCAACGAAGATGTAGTTTTGAACTCAGATTATTTTGGCGGAGAAGAGAATTATAATTTCGTTTGGTTGGTGATGAGCTTTACACACAACTAATGATGGTATTCCTGTTATCTATATATGGTTTAAAATCTAGTACGTTGGTTCTACGTTCTGTTCCTGGTGGACCTGAAAAGTTTCAGTCGCCATTTATCATGATATGCAGCAACTTAGTAGACGCAAGTGTTTTGAGTCTTCCCTCACATCTATACATCAATTTTAACTGCAAAATTACACAGCGCAAGTAGCAGCAATAAATCTGTTTTGTTATTTTGTTACAGAAATGATATATGTTAATTGAGTTGTTATTATATCATCGTTGTCTTGTCATTATGTCCTTATTTTATGTCCTTCATATATGATCAATACGGCATCATTGTTGAAAGCTGAACGTGGAGAAAAAAAAGTCAAAAAATGTTTATTTGAACTGATTGTCAATTACAAGTGCATTCACACGATTTTTCCTCTTGAATCGTGTTTCTATGACAATAAATCAATGACATGCAGATAAGAAAGTAACACATGCCTATGTTTTAGTTGACACATATTGTCACTTGTGATTAGGGGTGGACATTGGGTGGGTTGGTTTGGTTGGACTTGAACTCGTTGATCAACCTAACATGCTCAAGTTGGAATCGTTCACTCTTTTTCACCCAATAAAATGGGCAAACCAACCACTCAAACCATTCTTAAGTGGGTTGAGTTGGGTTGGTTTTACAGATTGGAGTTAATTGGTTTATTCTAATGCAATTATGAGTAATAAATAATCAATACCTACTTTAAATTAGGCCTAAATAATATAAACTTGATGTTGTTATATCCCTACATATGACTAATACATACCTTTCACTATTCAAAACAAGTTTTAATAAAAAAAATATTTAAAAGTTACTAAATTTAGTTATATATCTATATATCTATCTAATATACGTATGTTTAAGAATTATTTTTATTTGGGTGGATTGGTTTTAATTGCGTAAATAGTATTCCATCCTAATCTAACCACCAACTTATTGAATGAGTGATCCGGTTTTTCCTCAAAATAAATTTTTAATGTTCAGAACCCAACCCAACCCATATATGGTGGTTGGTAGATGACTATGGTTATTCGTTTTTCAATAACAATGTGACATCAGTTCATTCAACACACATTATAATTAGAATATTTATTTTCTATTTTATCTATAATTACATAAAAAATAGTAGTTATAGTTTTTAAAAACAGGCCCAAATACCCACACTTTTTAGCAAGTGGCCCAGTATACCGGGTCCTTCCTGGCAAGCCTCGACTCCAAAGCGAGATGCCCCGAAGAAATGAAACCCTAGAAGCTGATTATAAAACCCTAACGAAGCCATTTCCGCCTCTCAGAGTCACAGCCCAACGAACCTCGAGATGCAGATTTTCGTGAAAACCCTAACCGGGAAGACCATCACTCTCGAGGTCGAGAGCAGCGACACTATCGACAATGTCAAGGCCAAGATCCAGGACAAGGAGGGCATTCCCCCGGACCAGCAGCGCCTGATCTTCGCTGGCAAGCAGCTCGAAGACGGCCGAACCCTAGCTGACTACAACATCCAGAAAGGTCGGTCTCCCATTTTCCTAGTGTTTTTAATTTTGGGGATATTTTTTTCAATTGTTTGGATTTGCTTACGGAGTCTGATTTGAATTGATTGCTCTGTTGTGATTCAGAGTCGACTCTTCATCTGGTGCTGAGACTCCGGGGAGGAATTATCGAGCCTTCTCTGATGGCTTTGGCTCGCAAGTACAATCAGGAGAAGATGATTTGCAGAAAGTAATTATCTTTTTTTCACCTTAATCTGTTTATTTATGGCAAATTAATGTATTTTTTTGTTGTTGTGAATTTAGTGATTAATTTTGTGGGACAATTACTTAGCCTCCCTTTCAGATAGAGTGCAATTGAGGTTATACTCGTCCCGATATAAATTTTCCATTCTCTTAACTTTGTCAGCTGGACTCATTTATTTTCAGTTGATTTTCTTGAGTGGAACATTGATTAATTGTTCTTATATTGTATAGCATTGTTATGTAAAAACAATTACTGACTGTTGTACTTATATCCTACTTTAAGCTATCGACTCATGATTTAATTAATGATGTTTTCGACATGAAGATATCAAATTTGGTTTTGAGATTTTGACTGAAGGAATGAGGCTTTTCCTAAGTGGCAAATGGCTAGGCCTTTTTTTGTGTACTTTTCCGAGCAAGTTAGATTCTATGCTTGTTTCCAATAGGAAATTCCATTTTATTAACTTTACGGTATATTTGTTGGTTTGGCGTTGTTATGTTCTTGTCTCTCGTCCTTCATTGTTGAGAATTACTTAGCCTCCTTTTTTTCAGGTGTATTGAGTTTATCCTGCCTCAACAATTATTTCTATCCATTAATCGTGTTGGCTGAGATCAATTGTTTTCAGTTGGTGTTCATGGGTGGAACATCCTGTTGTTTTTTGTGTTTACTTAATATATTTTGCATGATGTGATTGATTGAAATGTGTAATTTTGATCTTAGATCTTAACTAGTGTTTCGACCTCGTCAACAAGGCTTTTCCTTTGGTTGATTTAAATACCTTTACACTACGTAAAGTTGATTGATACTGTGTTGGACATGTAAATTATTGTGTATCTTGCCATTGTTTTTTCCCTTGTAGTTTTTCAACACTTGATTTTGCATGCGAGAATCCCAAACAGATTGTTCTGCTGACATGTAATTTTTTTTGTCTCCCTTGTTTGTTAGGTGCTATGCTCGTCTGCATCCGAGGGCAGTGAACTGCAGGAAGAAGAAGTGTGGCCACAGCAACCAGGTAGATTTATTTTTCTGTGGAGTATGCAGCGTTGCTATTTGCGTACTGCATTTGAAATTCGATCATAGAATTGAATATGATCGTGATTGATATGCTGTGGATCAGTTTTACGTTCTAAGTGACTGAAACTTAAATCTTTGTTTCTTGCAGTTGAGGCCCAAGAAGAAGATCAAGTAGAGTGTCGGGCGAATATTTTGTTACTTTTGTCTAGACTAGAGTTTGAATTTTTGTAATTCAGTTAACGTCATTTGCCATGTATCGGAGTTGAATTACTGCGGTTTATATTAACATTTGATGGATATTGGGATAATTTTGATCTCTTGTTTTATATCTGTTTTATCGTTTTGATCAAGTTTTGTGGGATGTGGATTTGGACGAAGGTTTTTTAGCTTCTGTTTCGTCTTCTTTGCTTTTTTTCAGGAACTTGTTGGAAGCCTTCATTTGCCCCTCTATTGCCTTCCCTCGCTTCACACTCTACGTCTTGTTTTCGCTGATAGACAATCTTTTTGTTCATTCGATTTGCAGAAAAAGATACCGCCCCCTCTCCCCCTGGGTCTTCAGCCGGTTCCCAACCCTTCTTGGGTGGTGGTTTCCTGAGCTGTCACAGTTTTCCTAATATCTCCTCTGCCCTCTCCTATTCTTCCCTCTCTTTCTTTTCACACAGCCTATTCGACAAGATTCAATAATCTCTCTTTCATTTTGGTTCATGCAAGTGCCACCCATTTCAAAAGCAAGTTTCCGCTTATTCACTCCAAGGGGCGCAGAACCGAGACTGTTGTCTCGATTCGGGTCTTTGTACCGCCTCCTTGGAGTGCCGAATCTTGGATCAGATTCTGAGAGGAATGTGTGGGGTTGGTTGTGGTGACTTGGGGATATGCTTTTCTCTACATGGTTTAATGTCCTAGCGGATTTGCGATTGTGGTGGCAACTCGATTCGTTCATCATGGGCGTGTTTTGTTTTTGTCCTTTTATGATTTAGGGTTTGTAGTTCTTCTGGGTTCCTTACTTTGTGGCTGGGCCACCTTGTAAGTCTGGGCTAGTGTTCTAAATCAGTTAACAGTGGCTCTAACTGAAAACTTAACGGATGTACGAAAGTATCTTAAAATTATGATTTTAAGTAACAAATTAGGACGAAAAAAAAATCAATGTATCAAACGTTGAAAACAAAAAAACTTCAAGGTAGTAAATTGAGATTAATCCTAAAATTTATATTTGATTTGTCACTTAGTACTATGGTTTAATTTGACAGTAATCCCTTTGATGCCAATTCATATCATTCAACGTAGGAATTGGAATTTTAATTAGAAGAAAAAACTAATTTTGTTTTTTTTAGTGTTATTATTGATGTGGATATTTTGACTCTTTCTTTGGCTTGTTATAGGTTTTGCCACGGGACATGCAAGAATTGGAAGGAAGGAGTCAACGTATTCAAATGTGAACACCTGTATTTTAGAAATACATATATATTTAATCGTACTTTTAATATTGTGATCATTTCATTGAGCTATATATATTTATATTTTTTTTCCTCTGGTAACTTATTTTGGCCCATTTCTTGACCAATTCCAATTCCAACGACACAGATTTCTTGTTTTCTCCAGACAGCAGCTCTTATCATTGTTTCTTAGTACGTCGACTTCTGCTGCTGTGTATTGCCGACCTCTCCATTAAATTATTATATGTCGACTAGCCAACCCTTTCGTTTCCTGCCATATGTTGATCTCGTTCTTCGTTTCATCTTCTTTATTCTAAGAGTATCTCCAATAAGAACTCCATTTGAAGTTCTCACAATCGTAGTCTCTGTATATAGGCACAAAGAGCTTTCAATGCATCGGAATACAAGTTATCAAAGTATTTAAATAAATAGGAACTCGCCAACATAAGAGTTAGTGATGTTATTGAGAACACTGGTAGGAGCAAAGTCTTATTATACAGGGGACTTGCCAGAATATGCAGTATCGTGCTACCGTTACAGGAAAGACATGATGAATTTATATGGCGTCCATTGTTAATGGTGAGTTCTGTGTTAAATCGGTCACCTGGTTGCAAACTGACAAGCAAATGACACATCTATCTATAGTGTTAGTAAATAGAATGTAGAAACTTTCTGTCCCACAAAATATAGAAATGTTTAGTTCGTTCCTAATTTGTCAAGAAAGTTGGGTTCCACCATAAATTAATTGACAATCTGGGGAGTATCTAACTACTTATAAGCACTTGCAAGGTCTCTTCTCTCATCAATATGAGATTCATTCTCAATACGCCCCCACTTGCAAGGTTCTAAAAAACG